TGGTGCGCAATCTGAAACCCTACAGCAATTACGAAGTCAAGGTTGTTGCTCTCCTCAATGATCGAGTAACTAATGTAGCAACACTGAAAAGCAGCGAGAAAACTGACATACGTACGAAAGAGGGCGGTATGTAATTTTGGTATTTATAACTTATTATCTTTAAACTGCGAGTAGATCCTGTTTTCTTGTAAAAGCGGTGAGCACGAAGTGAGGAAAACCGAAGATAAAGAGGGCAATCGGAAAAAATAGTTAAGCAATAGATCACCGTTTCTATGAGTTCACCGGCGTAATAAACCCACGCATGATGTTGGGAGAACACGGGAAAAGCTTGCTAGCTTGTTAGTTGGTTTTTTAACGGAGTTGCAGGCTTCCACCGCCTTGGCACCTTCGAAAGCCCACGTCCTAATCTCGTTAATAACCTCCTGAGAAATTAAAAACCACTTGAACATTTGTTTTCTGTTAAGCTGGTTCTAAAATTCTTTAACTTTTTCTAAGAACTAGGTCTTAGCATACTGAAGATAATTAATAAAATAAGATCTCAGTCTTAGTACGTTTTAAGTTAAAATCAAGGTTAGATAGGTTACACTGTTGCTTCGCTTTGAAATACTATTTTAGCATTAACTGATATTAGCTGGTAGTACCTGTATCGATCAATCAACCTACAAGTGTTGCTTATTTTACCACTTACCTTAATTAATCCATGGTGTCTATTGAGAATTTTGTGGCTAAACGCTAACCACTCCCCTAATTACAAACTATTGCTATTTTTTTTTGTTTTTTTTTATTAAGAGAGCTTTGTGTTTAACAATTGCATCAAACGAAATTTTTATTTGTCGTTTAGTTCCAGGGTATGTTCCATGGGTGTATGGATACGATCGTGGTTCCAACTCTCTCGAGATTTACTGGTCTCCTATACCTGAAGAAGATACTCATGGAGTTCTTCTTGACTACGTCGTGTATTATAGACGTTATCGTTCCTACGAGAACTTCACCACTGTCAAAGTGAACGCAAGTACCACAGTATTGAAGATTACAGGTCTTATGGAGGCCACGACTTACGAGATCAAAGTTGCAGGTCGTACAGCTGTTGGAGAGGGTCCTTTACATACCACATATGAGAGCACAGGTTGGTAGCTGTATTGATATGCTCAATTTGTCCATTACTTCATTGTTAATTTTAGTTTGTGTTGTATTGGTTTCGTGATCATCTGTGCCTGTACAATATATAGCCAAAGTTAGTCCACACATACAGAGTTCACGGGCTACGTCCCGCTCTTACCACTTAGTACCACTTAGCTGGAGTTGTTTGTCGGTAAACTCAAGTTCTGCTTCTCGGTCATGATTGTAAAAAGCTAACTGGTCTGCCTCCCACCTGTTAGGATTTGTAAGCTTATTATGTGTCGCTGATATATATGGTTTCTTTTAGTTTAAGTGGCATACCTGAGAATTAGCTAGGTGTAACTAAGTGTTTTAGGTGTTGTGATCTGCGTAGTCTTAGAAATAAGAAAATCAACACTGTTTGGGAGAAAGGGGGAATGTTTCCAGGGCGATCGAAAACCAATCACATTGGGGGTTTTATTAAAGAACCAATCAAATTGTCGTTTACGAAATGGGACGGTATGTTGTTAAAACAGATTGCACAGTTTAGAGAGGTAAATTTTACGGCTCTCAGAAAGTTACTTTTTCTCTAACCCTTTTCTTGGCACCAAAAAGGCTCTCAGGTGTTGGGAAGGGTTATGTAACAAGAACACTTCCCAGACTTTGCAGATTTCGAGGCCTCTTACAAATTTATACTTTCTTTCAGATGTCCAGTTGTTTCACCTCCAAAAGTGTCTTCTCGTTTAGATGGCTTTTAAAATCGATATTACTTGGAATGTCACAACCGAAGAAACTATAATTAATCTGATCAATGTTTGCAACAGAATAAGACCATGTTATAGCATTAGGGTGTTCTTGTTATGAAATGAGTCCATAAAAAATTACTCACCAATCTGCTTTCATCGTTAGGAACTATTTCAGACGGCATAATTTAGCTGTCTTGCGGGAAAAGCGCCATTGAAGTTCTTATAAACAAAGCTACTGATCGAATTGTCCAAATCAAACCTTGATAAAACTAGGCTTAATATTACACTTTTTAAGATGACATATATTCTTTTTTTGCCGAATATCATAACTAAACTTGTTGGATTAACCTAGTCACAATGCTGGTACTTGCGGGCCTATGTTTTGTCACGTTATGATGTTAGCCCATTTTGTGGTATTTCTCGTCGAGATTTGTGGTAAAACACTACAGTTTTCTGCAACTTGAACTGTCCTCTCCCGCCCCCTTTTAAAACAATGTTCAACCAGTTAAGCACAACAATCCTGTGAGAACAGACACTTAAAATGTTCAATGTCGTATTAATTTATAGCCTCACCTAAAGGGCTTGATTTAATTAAAGTGTCTGGATATATTTTTTACTGGACCATTCCAAACATTTTCGATGAACTTTTTACCAGTTGTCCCTTAATTGGATCAATATAAAAATTGAAAATAGATTGAAATTTGGTATAATATATTTCATGGCACTCGATATTTCCCTGGAAACAATAATTAAAAAAAATATGAAAATGGATAAAACATGAATTTTGGGTGAACCAGATGTGACATAAAAAACCTAGCACAATGCATAAGCACATGGCAAATTACAGAGGTGTCAAACTCGACGAAGCGACATGCAGATAACAGCGGAAATCATGCAGACCTATGACATCTACAAGTTTGACATACCACGGTCCAGCGGCTCAACTCTACTTATAACACAACGTGAGGTGACTTTCATAAACATGAGTGAAGCAACAAAAAGATCGAGTGACCGAACAGAGGAACCGTAGGAGTCGTGTAGGCTAGTCAACCCCATTTTACACTTTCATTTAAAAGTTTCGTCCAAAATATGAAGCCCAAATACCCCAAAATGTTTTGGCAGCACTCTAAACCCAGTGTGAAACATCTCTTGAGTGTTTTCAGCTATGTCCTTCAATGACGTCACTAGAAGCCCGACCCTGATATCCCACTGTGCTCTGTCGTAGCAGCAGCAAGCACAACTTTAAACGCCTGTAGAAACGCGGGGATTTTATCAATCGTGATAATTTTTTAGCTGACTAATGGGAAAACTAGCAGGTTTCATTAAAGGAAAAAGGTTTTTGTTGTTAGTTGTACTTTAATAATTGTATAAGTCTAAGTTGGAGTACCTGCAATACATTGTTTTGGCATTTATTTGTAGCTTGGTTTGCCTGTGTACTTGACTACGTTTTTTAAGATTGTCAACAGTATCACTTCTTTGTAACAGCTAGTGAAAAAGTTGATAAGAATAAATGATAATACGAACTTTGTATTAACCAAAAAACCTTAAATCCAAGTTTTGCGGAATTCCTGGCGTTTTTGGACTTGCTTTGGATAGATTTCTCAAATTTATCACCAAGGGAATCATCTTTTGAAAAATTTGGCCACGTTATTAAACATGCGTAAAGACTCAGTGAATTTTAAAGAGTGTACGAAAATTGATGTGCAAATTAAAAGAGAAATTTTTTACTAGCAAGCACTACGAGGGAAACATTTTTTGTAATTTTTGTGCATTTAATTTTAGAGATTGTGAGAGGACCTTCAAAAGTGAAATCAATGCAACCAGGCCTTGGACGCTGCGCTCGCAGTCCACCCCCCGCCGCCTGCTCACGTTATTGCTGTGTTGATTTCCGCCATTTTTTCATCTTTATTGTTTTGCGTTTTGTATCAGATACTTTAGTTAGGTCTCTCGTGATTAAATTATACAATTTATAGTATTGTATAATGGTGCTTTCGTTTGCTTTCAGGGGCACCCAACGACCGTTTTCTCTC